TTTTCTTTACTTTCTTGAGAGGCAAAAATTTTATTTTAAGGACTGATGTTAACTTACTACTTCTTGAAGGTCCTCCAGCTTGAAGAACCATGCTACTGTTAAACAGCAAGCATCTCTAGACAAAGAGGTATCAAATCACACTATAATTTTAATATAATTAAACCATAATGAAATTCTAAAAATAGTAAAAGAATCAACCACTAACTGTACAGAATGCTATGATTAACTTGAGATCAACAAACCAAGACCACTTCACGTGACATTTTATTCACAAGTAGAAAAAGTATTACAAAATTATTTATACAAGATTTAATTTACATTCTTTAAAGGAGTATTTAAAACAGCCCTCTAAGTCCCTAGATGTGATATGTGGGCAGTCTAAACTCAGTGGCAGTGTATGTTCTCTATTGGCATGTACAACATTGCTTGCCACAGGCAATATAAAACAGACCAATTTGGTTAAATTAAGGCAAAAAGTATATACATAATATACACATGTATTTAAAAAGCAATCCCTTCATTTTTTTCCTCCCAATTTACTCTCAAGCTATTTGTGACTCATTTAAAGAAATGAGTATTTTTCTCTAGGGTTGCCAGACAAAAACATTTATACAAAGTGTAAATTCCAATGGGAAATCATACTTCCTGTGGCAGATGCTGGCAAAACTTTTGAACATAGCATTTTAAAGAACTGTTATTAGTGAAAAGCTAATTCTCTATATGTTCTAAAAATACCTTGCCATATACTGAAATGCACATTGGATTTTTTCTATTTACAAAGTATATACAAAGAAGCACACATCTTCATTTACATGTAAAGAAAAATCACATATTGTCACGTCTTAAATGTATGAAAGTATTCAAAGAAATTATTAAAAGCTACTCTTATTTGACTACAATTAGCTTGAAAACTGTTATTCATTATTTTTGCACACATGAATAATCTCACTGGTTTTAGAGGAAGCTCCCTCAGATGCCTACACTGGCTTCAGCTATTCTTGTGCAGGCTCAACCTTCTACTCAGTGCTCCCAAGCAAAAGTCTTTTTCCATTATGGAATATGAATACTGTCTCAACATTGCCATTGCTACACAAACCATGTGTGGAAAGATGAGTAATATTTGTTGCAAATTTACATTTGTTTTACTGATTGCTTCCCTTCTGTCAAGGCACATTGTGTACTTTAAAGAATAATTGCTGGAGCTCATCACTGACAGGTCTGAGCCTGCTGAATGTAATGAATCAGTAGAGGTTACTGGGATTACTCACAGAAGTGAAAACTATTTTAAGGTTAAAAACAGCTGCAGAACAAATGTCATTGTGGGATGTAGTGCAACAACCTATGGTTAAAAAAATCTTAAAGAACAGCAGTGAGGGCAGAGAGTTACTAGGCATGCACTCAGCTTCAAGGATTTCATTCAGAGGTTTGGGGATTTTTTTATATGTCATGAATATTTTTTTTACTACTACAGTGAGAAGGACAGAATGACATGAGGAGAAGAAAAGGCCTTCTAAATGAATTCATTAGGTCACCATGAAGCTTGACCCACGAAAAGGCATTGCTAAAAAATATTTGCAATAGTGTAATTGTATGAATACTTTCATGGCACACCTGCTCTAGTTGGACATTTTGGTGTGACAGTTGATTACATTTATTTCAACATCCAAAATGGACATGCTATAACAGCAAGTGCTGTAATTCAATAGTGAGGCTAACAATTAAACACAACACCCCTATCTATACATTTGACTTCCATTAAACTAAACCTAAGTTAAAGCTAATCTCATGCTAGATTTAACAAAACAATGCCCCCTTCCATAAACGTAATGGATGGAGGGGATTTCAACCACACATACTGTAACATGCAAATTCTTTAACTCCCCACACTAGCTTATTGCCTATAAAGTAATATATAATAAAAGCTTCAGTTTATCAATAGATGTCCTTGCATAAATAGAAATGTTTACTTTTTAAGTCCTTCAACAGCAGGAAATGGATTTAAAATTAGAACCAGCCAAAAAAAAATCCTAATGCATGCAAACATCTGCAAGCAGAATAACTGGCAACGTCTTGTCCCAAGCTTTCTGACATCTGTAGCCATATTTAAGATGTCTACTTAACCACACTGAAGTATTTGTATTTCTTGGTGTATATATACATATACTTCTAATGTCATTCCATTAGACTTCTTGAGAATCTGAGGGAACTAAAGGTTCTTTTTCTCAGAGATGCCAAAGGTCATAAATCCACTTTCAGGGTTCTCCTAGGATGCTCCTTGAAGTTTCACTTTGCAGCTGTTATGGCTCAGATGCAACTTCTCAGAAGGTGTGAAATGATGCCTTTTTTTTTTCCAGCTGATTTTGAAACCATGCAACATTGAAGAGCAGGCTAAGTTTGATGAGAATTAGCAGAGGAACATCAGAAAAGCATTCAAATTTAGTGCTGAGAGAAACAGCTTGGTTTCCTAAAAGACACCAATAGAGCAGTGGTTACACAAACTTGCAAAAAACCTGTATATACTTCTATACTTGACAAAACACTAAAAAATACAGCTATACTTACTATGTGCTGTAAAAAGTCACCTAAACCTGAAGACTGAGCTTGTAGTTAAACATCCATTAAAAACCTTACATTTATGTCTGCATAAATAAAAATATTCTAACTTCTATGATTCTAGTTTTATCATATGATTATTTATTTTAAAATACAATAATGAAGCATGGCCCCATTCAAGCCTGTAGTGCATCCACATACACTGAAAAGGCCACCTTTCCCTCAAAATATTTCAAAAAGACAAAAAAGATGAAGGGCAAATGGAAGAAAGTGGAGCAGGCTGCAGTGAAATAATTTTCTTGGAGTTGTAAAGCTGGTCAGAATTAAGCCTTAAAATACATCTCAGGTAAGTCTAGTCCTGGTCCTGTGCCTCAAGTGCTACTTAAATTTTTCCATCAAAGATGCATATGTAATGATGCAATGTAGAGTCTGAATATGGAGAAATTGTCTAAAATGAATCAGTACAGCCTACTGAACTAAAAAAAAAAATGAAGCAGCTAACCCATCCAAACCATTCTGCTTATTCAGAAGGATACACAAATCTCAGTAGTACTACATGATGGTACAAAACCATCAGAGTACAGGATTTTGAAATGTCAGAAAAGATGTCTACATAGAGATATGAATCAGTAAGAAAATATGCTGAAATTTAAGTTAAGTCTTATAGTGATATTTGGAAGTTCTGTGGTTCCTTTCATCTATAAAAACTCTAAATAATATTAATCACATACCTCTGAAGTTGATACATGGTTTAGTGGGGAAAAAACCCCACAAACTTGAATTTAAAAATCTTGTTAATATGGAAATATATTCCCTTAAAACATCTAGAATGCGTAGAAGTTCTATTGATAAGCACTGAAAAACTGGCAGTGTCAAGATCTGCAGCCATAGTCATGTGATTGTCCCTTCATATATATGCCTAGACAATATGACTAAGACCTAAGGATATTTGGCATATACCAAAATGACAGTGGCTACCTGACATATGGGTGGTTAGTGCTAGACACTGTTACAGACAGAACTATATACTGCAAATAATAAATTGAGAACAATTCCTGGGCTGCATCAAAAGAAGTGTGGCCAGCAGGCCCTATGAACTGCAGGGGGGGCTGGACTAGATGACTTTCAAAGGTCCCTTCCAACCCCACACATTCTATGATTATTCTATGACCTAGATAAGGTTGATATTTTCAGTGACAGCAGTAGATTTTCAGGCTGATTAACAAGTTCCACTGAAGTCAATCACAAAAAACTTAGTGGTTTGTTTACCTCCCTTTCCTCCTCTTGAAAACATCACCTAAAGAATTAAGGCCTGATTTACAGAGAATTAACTATTGCACACACACGCTTTCAGAATATGCCTTTTTTTTTTTTTTTTCAAAACTAAATTCTTTTTCTACTTCTTGTTTAAGAACAATATAAAAGTGGCATGCAAACCAAATGAAAGAGGATCAAAGGAAGGCAGTTTTACTTCTGGAGATGACCCAAAATTTTCATAATTACATATAGCATAATTTTCTTAAATACGTTAATGTTAGTGGCAATAGCTTCTGTTCCTGCCTCTGTGTACATGCACAGGAGACTATTTCAGCTTTCCAGCCACAGCCTGCACAACCCCTGAGTAACAACACCAGAGCACATGCCATACTTTGGGATCCTTCACAGCTACTAGTTGCTCCAAGTTACTTCCAATGGGAGAAAATGCCATTTAAATAATACAGAGCGTGGCTACTATTTAAAAAGATAAATTGATGAAGCAGTAGCAGGGTGACTTCTTGTGTTGGTTATATTGTTATGCAGTAAAGATTTTTTTTATCACCTTTTCTCATTTTGACCTCAGACCTGCATTTTGTCTGAGAATGAGAACACTGAGCTTTTATAGATTATATTTTATGGGCTAATTTATGGAGTGTTTTCTCTGATGGCATGGGAATATGAATAGCATTACAAAGTGTTTGAGATTCTCTCGCCTGCTTCTGTTACTGCTGTAGTACCTTCATAGAAAAGGCTTGGTAAATATTTTTGGATGAACACTTGCATATATTTTATGCTCTGTTTACAATAAGCAAAGTCCTCAGTTCTTCCCTCATAAACAAGGACTAGCCTCACATAATAGTTTGGTCACAAGGCTATCACACTGATTTTTTCCCCCTGAAATTTAATGAAAAAACCCCACCCTGATAAAAGCTGACTGGTGTGTCATTTACCCCTGTATTCTGTTTCACATTGTCTCAGCATTAAAGTTCAAGTAAATACATTTTACAACTCCAGCCAGTAATTTAAAAGTGTGAAATGGTTGGATCTCTTGTAGAGTTTTAATTTATTTCAGCCAACAGCTAAGTGTAACCTTTGGAGAAATATAACCCTGTAACTTTTTTACAATTCTATTTTTACCTAGCTCTATGTGCCTTGAGTACTCATTCTCACTCCTTTGTAGTTATGTTTTTTTACCTCTTTATCAGTCTGTAGAGTCATTTGCTGTTCCATTACTCATTGTCTTTGGCCAGGTTTCAGCAGCTGCTGAGTTCTGAAGTGATGAAACTTCTATGCATGTTCTATGCTTGGAGATTTCAAATGACTTTGCAAAGTTTTCCTCAAGAGACTTAGCTGAAATAAGTATTTCATTTAGATCCTGGTTATTATCCGACTCAATATTGGCTGCATTTTCAGTCTCAGGACTGCAGGATTTTTCAGACCCTCCAGCCAGTTCTGAGTATGATTCACAGAAAGAAATGCTGTCACAACAAGCTGAGTTTTGCATAAGAGGCCAAGCATCTGAAATGTCTCCACAGGCAGAGTGTGAAAGAGAACCAAGGAAAGCAGGAATCATTTCTCCAACAGAATCAGAAGCCCTGCAAAAGAAGTTTAAAAAATTGTTTCAAAAGCATTCCAGAAAATATTACCAGTATTGCAATTATTGTCATTAATAACCATAGGTATTTCATGAAAGTTTGACAGGGTTATATCAAGTTAATACTCCAGAGGCACCATGCACAAACAATGCTTTTGAAAAGGAATACAGTTTGCTTCTCATCTGGAAATGAAGAAAGCTCTGGATGACACTTCTAAAGGCCAAGAGGATGCCTGGGGCCCTTCACACTGTGAATTCAGGGTTTTAGAGAACATGAACTGCAGTTGGGGTTATGTAAGTCGAAAAAATAGAAATATGATCAAATAGGATAAAAAGATACTGTAGAACTGCTCAGATACAAAGACTTGCAAAGAGGAAGGAATTTATTTGTTCTCAATGAGGGGGTGGGCGGGGGTATTTAAAACAAGATATAACAAGCTTAAATTGCAGCAAGACATGTTTGGGAAGACGGGTATCTCCAACACTAGTTTTAAAAAATAACAAAACAGGCCAGACAAATACCTAATGGAATCAAAAGATGTAGTGGGTTCAGACTGGGAAAAGGAGATAGACAAGACTACCTGAGACTCCTGTCTGTGTGATTTCACACTGAACATACATTTACTCTTTTATGTGGAAAGGACAGTCTATTAATGTAGGGCGATGATTTTTAATTCTCACAAGGATTATTTTTATTTTACATAGAAGGGAAGGAAGTGGAAGCAGAAACCCATTATTTTCTACCTCAAATATGTTTAAAGTGCACAATGATACTGACATGTCTGAGTGACCTATACATGCCTGTCTCTGTCGAAAGCCCAGTAAGGTTTTTACTACAGGATACCAAAATAAGTATTCAGAAAACAAAGATTTACCAATACATTTAATTTCCAAAAACTGTATACAGATTTGTAAAGCCACAAGGGCTATATTAAGCCTGATACACAGTAATAATTAAAATTGCCTAGAACAGATTTTAAGTAGCCTTACTAATTTCCAAAGCATGATGCGTTAATAGCTTTGATATACACACAAAGCATTTTTATAGATGAGGCCAAAAGTCAGGACATTGCACCACAATTGAAGGAAATATATTATTTTGGCAAAGGAAATGGAAGCAAACTCAATTTCTACTGGAAGGAACCACAGGAGCTTTGATGTCCACATAGCATGGACATGACATTTATTTTTAAAGTCTTAACCAAATGATCCCTCACAAAGTACAAAACTCTCAATTTGTCAGCCTTGGTGGTATAAAAGGATGACTTAGGCTTGCTGGTATTTAAAGCAGTTATTATAGAAAATGTAGGCATTTTGTATCTTGCACTTAGGTCACAAAGTCACCTTGCATAAACAACACCTAGCAAGAAGCAGCCTCTATATTTTTTTCTACATTTGGCCATAAAAACAAAACAGCTAGAGACCAGTTTAAACCTTATATGGAAAACAATTCTAGCTAAAGCAATAAATACATCCTGTGTTAAAATCTTTATCCAGGAAGCTCAGAATGACACCATAAATTTTATATATTTAGCTCATGGCACTGCTGTAGAAGTAACCACCCTACTACAGTATTTATATCCAGCTGATCAGGAGAAACTAAAGGTTACACTCTGGTAGAAATTAAGAAATACCAAATATTTCAAATCTCACAGTCATTAAGTGCTTCTAAAAAAAAGCAGAAGAGGGGTCCACTAAAGCTTCTAAAGTACCACAGAATAAGACTATCTGCTTGTGAGAGAAATAAGCTACTTCTTCATCAGAGAAACTGATATCTCATGTCAACATTTATTAAGTAATAGTTAAAATTGATTTTTCACCATTAACCTGTTTTTGCAAAAAACAGGAGTATATGGCTGCAGGTCATCAAAATCCCTCACCCCGCTCCAAACAATTCCTGTAAACATTTTTTTAAAAAGTTACCTTTCATTAAGTGTAGTCTGTGAGTGGAAAGCACAACTGTGACTGCTATGCTCCATGCTACAGGTTTCATCACAGCACAGTGATGGAATCAAGTGAACTGGTCCTAAGGAATGAAAATTGATTTGATAATGTTAAGTGTTAAAGCTCTATAAAAACTTAGTCACTGTATTATTTCAAACATCAGTATTAGTTTGTCTGTTAGATTATAATATATAGAAAGGTAAGGGTTGGAAGGGACTTCTGGAGATATGGATTAAGGAAAGAGATTTTTGTATTGAAAAAATAATTCATTACTTTAAAGCAGAACTACTTATAAAAGCCAAGCCTGTCGCAGAGACGCCAGTCATGAATATCTACTGTTTATCTCCATTTACTTTTCAATTAGGTATGTGTGAGAGGAAGTACCACATTCTCAGTTAACATGTTAGGATGGTATTTAAGCCTGTGCTCTTGTATTAAATTATACATTTATTAACATCATAAATGCATCTGTTCTTTTACTACTTCCCAAAATCTCAACAAATAAATTGATCAGATTTTTAATGTCCTTCAGAGCTCACATCATGTTCTTAGATACTGTCTGTAAATCCATCACACCAGTTAATGTCTTAAAGCTAGATACAGAGCTATTTTTATCAGAAATAAATGAGATAGACATTTAAAGCTATTTTTTAAGTGAAGGTCATTAGAAAGAAAACATTTAAAAAATCATAACCAAATAGCTACTTAGTAATTCTACTGTGCTTATTGAGAAACTAGGCCAGGACGCAGGGTGGCTTGACAATGTTAGTACTGTAGTTGAAGTTAAATGTCTCAACTGAAGTGTTAGATAAATGTTCATCATGTCATAATGTCACAAGTAGGCCTAACATACCACACGTCCGGGTTGTGCTTCTCTGGCACTGGCAACAAGTTCTGTGGTCATATTCATTTAGCTGTGGTCTATCAAAACATGACAATTCAGAGCCATTGTAGTGAATGTCTTGTGATCTCAGAGACCCTTTGGACAAAGTGAATAAAAATACATATTAGCAAATTATATTCTATTTCCTGTTCAGAGCCCCCTGTCTTCACAGAATACTTAAATGCCATCCTGTACAATATTTCCATACATTTTCCAACTGAAAGATCCACAATGATCATGTGGTTTCATATAATGAAAGCCACAGACTGTGCAACAAGCCCTAGAACAGATGGTTCAACTACAGTCTCTTCTAGGAAGACATCTGCTCTTATTTTGCTGATGATTTGAGAGAATATCCTATTCACTGTTACATTTCCTCAGTGTTTAATGATTCTCAGCAATTCCCATCTGAAACTTTCCACATTCAGCTTTCAGCCACTGAAGTTATCTTAAAGAGCTTTACATTAACAGCAGAATTCCTTTAATCTGTATAATTGTAGGCCAAGATGAACGAGGTGTTAAATTTCACTGACTGAAGTTTGAATTCACTATGTCTGAACTTAAGACAGATTGTAAAGCATCTGCTAGGCTAGGAAAAATTCTTACAATGTCTCTCTTACTCCTTTTATTTCTGCGTGTACTGTAAGGCAGTAATAACATATATTCTTCCTAGTTCTAATTCTTGTTTGACAGCCAGTGTTCATTAGATGCTATAAACATATTTAAATAAATGTTTTTAAAATTATTAATAGGAACTAGAGTGCTTTTGATTTGCCTCTTAATTTAAATTAAGGGGCAGATTTTTTTCTTCTTCTTATTATAAACAATCTGTGAATTACATTCATGAGCTGTTACGGATTTTACTTTATATTTACAAATCTAACTGGTTTAAGCATTTAATTCATCTTGAATATGCCCATAACCCCAAAATTGTTATCAATATATCTGCTGTCTACACTTCCCACACTCATTATCTTGACAAACTAAGTTGTTTCACAATGGCAAGTGATGCACAGATCCTCCAAGCTGGTATTTCCACTTCAGCACTGCACCTCTGATTACAACCCAAAAGGATCCACATGTTTGGATTCCAAATGGTCCACATGTATCTGTACACCATCTAACAGAGTATGGCACAGAACTAATACAACTGGCTTATTTCTGGACATCTGCACAGCATTTCCCCTGTAGAACATCCACACTGAGCTGGCAAACGTGTGGATATCAGTCTTGGGCTTCTGCTAACTTGTTAATCTCAATGCTAAACTTGCTTGAATGCTGCAGAAATGTCATTTACTTATCTACAATGAGATCTGACAAACTCATATTGGTGCATGAATATTGAAAAGAAACAGTAATAACTGGAAACTTACAGGTTGGTTTCTTCTCCATAAACTGCCTCTTACAATAGATAACACAAAGAATAAGAAGAGCCAAGAGCACTGTTGCCAGGGCACTGCATATGACAGCTGCTAGAGCTGTGTCTCGAGGACTGGAGGCAGTTGAGGGGATCTTCACAAGGTTTACTCTGGTGGTACCTGAAATGAAGCAAGGATGAAGGCAAACTGTAAACATTTCACAGTAATATATGATCATGTAAATGAAAGTCTGGGAAGCAGAAGGGGTTTGTTGCACAGAAAAAAACCAACCAAACAAAAAGGATGCTCCATTATAACCATTAGTTGTACATGTAAATAGATACGATTCATCAGCAACCACATTATGATAAAAGACTTAAAAAATATATTGTAAAATGAGTGGAGATGCACGGAAATGCATTCTGACTGTCCACAAGAATGGAATCAGATCTTCACCATGAAAACAAAGACCTCTTAGTTTTCAACGTCAGGTGATACTAATATGGAGAACATTTCCTGGTGTATAGTTGAGAAAGCTTTCCACTAGAGGGAGTCACAAATACATGAACTTCCTTTAATGAGGAAACTTTCTGAGAACTGAGACACCCACAGAAGTTCAGATGCTGTGAAAGGTACCATTTTGCTCAGTTGCATGACCACGGTCATTTCTGGGATCAAACCTAGGACTTCGACTGTGCTTTCCATTTATTTATTTTATTTTATTTTATTAGTATTTAATGATGCTTTTAAATATAGAGAACACCTCTAGCCAAAGTTCAGTAATTTACTTTATATCCGTAGTAGTAAAAAGTTAAACAATGTTTCTAGCTTTGATAAATATTGTTAGGTTTTTTTGTGGAAAATGAAAAAGTTTAACTACATCTATTGAAACTATCTTCAATTATGAATGGCTTAAAAAAATTGATTCATAGAATCATTTAGGCTGGAAAAGACCCTTAACATCATCAAGTCAAACTGTTAACCTAATGCTAAGAACTCCATCACTAAACCTTGTCCCTAAGCACCGTATCTTCATGTCTTTTTAAATACATCCATGGTTCCACCACCTCCCTGGGCAGCCTGTTCCAGTGCCTGACAACTCTTTCAGGGAAGAAATTTTTCCTAATATCCAATCTAAACCTCCCTTGGCACAACTTGAGTCCATTTCCTCTTGTTTTGTCTCTTGTTACTTGGCAGAAGAGACCAACCCCCACCTCACTACAACCTCCTTTCAGGTAGTTGTAGAGAGTGCTAAGGTCTCCCTTCAACCTCCTTTTCTCCAGACTAAACAGCTCCAGTTCCCTCAGACACTCCTCATGAAACCTGTCCTCTAGACCCTTCACCAGCTTTGTTCTTCTTCTCTGGACACTCTTTATTTTTGTTATACGATTCTTTTTTAACAACTTATGAATTATAAAAGCTCATCTGTTTCAATCTACTTTGAAGTTCACATCAATTCAACAGTATTTTATGAGAAAAGGAACAAAACATCAAGTATGTCTCTGACAGCAAATTTTTTACAAAACCACAAACCATATTTTGTTAACTTATAAAAATAAGTCAAATGTGCCTATTTCCCCCTGAAAATCTTTGGCTAAAACCTAAAGACTACAAATGGTCTGTGCAGTCCTCAGTTCAAATTGAGAGATGTCTCCAGATCATATTAAAATCACTAATCAAACTGTACATACATACAATCTTCTAATATCCTAACCGAAACATAATAAAAGCTTAGTGCAATCAATGGAATTGTATTATTCAGGACATTTTTCTCAAAGAATGATGGAATTTCCTCTACACACAACAAACATGGGCAGCAAAGTGTTTACAACACCATATTGCTTTGTTACAGTGGGCAGATTGCCAAAAAGCTAGGTATTTGAACACCAACTTTATTATCTCCAATGCTGTCTTCAGACCTCTTACAACAAAGAAAATATTAACTTCTGGGAAACAAAGAATCCATAATAATAAATGAATTATTTATGGATTATAGTATCATGTAGTTGCTGGCTAATAGAGAAACACAAAAAAGTGGAGAGATCAGTTCACAGCTTTAATTCAGAGAGAAAAGGTTTAGTTGATAATTTCCTGATTTCATTGTGAAGAAAAACAAGAGCTACTGCATTTACATCTGCTTGAATATTACTATTTGCCTTTCATTTGTACTGTTACGTTCCACTGTCACATCAAAAGTGTGGAGACTAAATTTGTAGCAGACTTTTTAATATCCTTTAACTTGGTGGCAAATTAGACAGAGTGGAGCTAGTGGAGAGTGTCCAGCAAAGGATCACAAAAAAGACTGAGGAACTGGAGTGTCTCTCCTATGATGACAGGCTGAGAGAGCTGGGACTGCTCAGCCTGGAGAAGGCTCAAGAGCCCATCTCAGAAGTGCATGTAAAACCTTGAAGGGAGGGTGCAAAGATGACAGAGCCAGGCTCTCTTCAGTGGACTGGAGGAAATGGGCACAAACTGAAACACAGAGGTTCTCTCTGAACATCAGGAAACACTTTTTCTAACTGTAAGGGTGACCCAGCAGTGGCACAGATTGACCCAAGTTATTATGGAAACTCCCTCCTTAGAGATGCTTAAAAGTCACATGGATATGGTCCTGAGCAACCAGCTCTAGATGACTCTGCTTGAGCAGGGGGGTTGAACCAGATTATTGCCATAGGTCCCTTCCTACCTCAACAATTCTGTGATTCTGAATTATTAAGATACAACAGATTACAAAACTTGTCAATAAAGTGGCTAATATCTCCTACATGAACTGGAAATACATTTTTAAACTGTCCTTGCACTAAAATGTTATCATTTTCATTATCAAAGCAGATGGCCCATCTATTAGTTGTGTTCCAGATAACAGAATAAAATTCCAACTCAGGGTCTTGGGTACTTTGGTTCTAAAAGTAATTATTACCTGTCTTTATGTTCTTCTATAATTCCTATTACTTATAAAGCTAAGTTCTATGACCTGTTTTCCAGATCCTCATTGTTATTTAAAAGAAAAAGCAGCCAGTGTTGTAATCTTTTTGTCACATCTTCAGTGCTCTTGGCAGCACCACTGCAGTCTCCCACAGAGAAAACTTTTCACTCAGTTTCTAGGATACTTGCAGCTGTAGCTTTAACAGTTTTAACAGGCTGCAGAAATTTCTGCATGGTATGTAAAGTTCCAGGACACAACTCTGTGAGAAGCTGCAAAACTAAATATAAAAAAACCTCTCTATACAGCAATGTGTGCTGGCTTTGGTGTGAAAACAAGGAGGACCATGCTTTGATTTCAGGTTTTCAGTTTTAGTGAACTGATTGATCTAGTCTTCAGAAGGTTAAATACAGCCTGGAAGAGGATTTAAAAACAAGACCAAAAAAAAATAATAATCAGAGTATCTTAAAATATTTTTCATATATATGTACCTATATCAATACCTCTATCAATGTACCTACTAAAAGTACTAAACAGCTCTTAGAAATTAGGCCTTCATTAGTAGAAAAAAGAACAGTTAATTTTGAAAGCAAAACCAGAACAAGAGCATTAGAGGTGGAGCTACTAGAGCTTTGTCTGTCTTCATTTGCTCACAAAATGTACCTATTTGCAAGCATGATGACATATTACATTTTCTGGGAAATTATAAACTACATAGCACTCATTAGCCACATCCAAACTGGAAATACAGCCCTTTTACTTTAAGCTGGGATGGCAAAAAATTAAATTTGTTCAAGCCATCTAGTTATTTACAATTTCTTTCATTTGGTTGCTTGTTTTGTGCTTCTTTTTGAGAAAGCAATTTTCTATTCCTGAGAATGCCTACCACTCATCTTCACCTTCAAAGAACTTTTTGGAATAGCTACTGTGAGCAGTCCATTGTAGTGTAGCTCTAATTATAATGATAGTGATCTTCCCTGCATCTTCCCAACATTTCAGAAGTGGATTGCTATTGTACAAGGGGCCCGTTGGGCATTGCTGAACTCTGCTTTCAGTGTTACTCAGATATGTATGCATTTTCATAAACCCTTTCTTTTCAGGCTCACAGACTTAATGCTCCCGTTTCAGTAAAGCAAGGAGGTGCATTCTGAACTTTAACCTTGTACTTACATTTATTATATGATTACATTATTAAATTTAAATATGTAATTTAACGCTTTGTGAATTTGACGTTATATATTAGGAAAGGAGGGAGGAGGTGCACAATGGTTTTGGATTTTGGAAAGCACATACATATTATGTATCATAAACATAAAAAGAGATGTATTTTATTTAAGAAATAGATTTTCTTAGTTCCAACATATTCTGGAAGTGTGCTCCTGCTAAAGAAGAACTACCCCAAATACCAAGCTGCCTCCTGCATAACTTTGAGCAGTTCTTCCCTTAATTAACCAACACTACCTCACAATGTCAGGATAGGCAAAGGTGTGGTTCTCAAAAGCAAGTAAAGTTTCTGTTAATCCAATATGGATAAATAGCAGTCACTCAGCTAATACAGAACATATGAATCCCAGCTGTAACACTGTAACTTCTGCCAATAAACAGAATAGCTGAGTTTTCAGCTTATTATACTGAACAACCAGAACAGGACAAAATGTAAGAAAACTTCCTTTATCACTTATTTCATGTTTATTTTCTCAGAACCATGATTAGTTACAGTCACTACTGGAATCAGAATGCCTAAAGGAAACCTTTCTGTGGTAGATTAACAATGTGAAAACAGAACTTGCAACATTTTATGTTTGTCCCATGGACATAATAAATAATATAATAACTAAAGTTGAGGAGGATAAGATGTGGATCATGTTTGGGTTTTCTTTCTTACTGTGTACTGCTAACATGAAGAGGGTTTACTCTATAAAACAAAGCTAATCTAAACTCCACTTAGCAATAACATGGTAACTAGGTACAGAGAACCATCTTTTATATTCAGGATTGAAAATAAGACACAAAAGTAAATTAAAAATATGAAATTCCCACAATATCAGTATTTCTTGTCAAGAGCAGGGAAAGGAGCCTATTATAAAAAGTATTTATCCACTACCTTTATGTTGATTGGTCCAAGTAAGTGGCATCAACCTTAATTCGACAAGAATTAAGGGCTCAGACATACCCTCAAGTTACAGTAATTTAACAAGTTACTGCCTGTCAGCTGAACTCAGTGGCTATCTCTGTGTGTGTGCTTGATCCATGGAAA